ATATAAAATACTTCATTTTACTTGGATCCACAATCATTATTGATGAAAGCAGCAGTCAATGAACTGCATTAGGCAGTTCTATTGTACAAGAACCTCTCTTAGTGTTTAAGAGTAAAGAGGTCACTAAGGAAGGTGTGCCTGACCCAAGCTTGGGCGTTATCAATTGCTTCATATGCATATGAAAGAAAGCTGGACAATGAATAAGGAAAACTGGAGAATTGATGCTTTGAATTATAATTTAAGTTAAGAATATCCAAAGTACCATGGACTTCCAGAAGAACAAACCTGTTTTGGAGAAAGTACTGCCAGATTGCTCCTTAGAATTGAGGTTGGTAAGAGTTGTCTCGCATACTTTGGACGTCTTGCCAGGATGGACCAGTCCCTGGAGAACATCATGCTTGATAAAGTGGAGTGTCAGTGAAAAAGAGGAAGACCCTCAATGAGATGGATCGATACAGTGGCAGCCACAATGACCTCAGACATGGCAGCAATTGTGAGGATGGTACTGGATTGGACTGTGTTTTGTTCTGTTTTGCATTGTTGTTGTTGTTGTTAAGTGCCATCGAGTCGGGTCCGACCCATAGCGACCCTGTACAGGGTTTCCGAGGGTGGAAATCTTTACGGGAGTAGAAAGCCTCATCTTTCTCCCGCGGAGCGACTGGTAGTTTCGAACCGCTGACCTTAAGGTTCGCAGCCCGATTCGTAACCACTACGCTACCAGATTTTTGCATAGGATCTCTTTAAGTTGGAACCAACTGGTTGACTTATCAATGGTGTGTGTGCCCACATGTGTGCAGTCACACATTGCAATGTGTGAACCTGGAGACCAGGCTGGTCCTGACTCCGAACATTCCCTCTGTTTGGTCTGGGGTGGAGGGTGTATCAGATCCTGTGTGGGCTGGTCAGGGCTGAAGGATTTAAAATCTGAGGATCCCAAAATAGCCCAGTAGTCTGAGCTCCCTTCCCCCAATGTGCCTAGGGCCTCAATGGCCCTTTGTCTGCCTGAAGGTCCCCGCCCCTGTGGGGGGCTCAGACACTGACTGGGGCTGGGCGAGGCCAGGCTGCTGCTATTTCCCCTCCACCTCCTGCGTCCTGCCTGCTTACCCAAACCCAGTGCTGGGCCACAGCTGACTGAACTTCCCACCCAGAGGACCCAGGGCCAAGCAGAACCCCCACAAATGCCCCAGTTCATCCAAGACTCCTACTCATGGTACCTGGGCCAGCAGATGCTCCCACACATGCCCAGTATGTGTTTTCTCACTGAAAGGGTATCTCCGAAGCCCCACCGCAGGGTCAGGTTTGCTGGGCTTGGGCAGTACACAGCGTGGAGTATTGTGTGTGTGGGGTGCCTAGCTGAGGCAGCACCTCCCCCCACCCCACCCCCCACACAAATTAGCAAGAGATGACTGTAGCTAGCTCTGGGCTGCAGTGAGACCCTTGGGCTCCTGGAACTCCCCCAGGTATGGAGGGTGAGGCTGGCAGGGGAGTTGGATGCCACTGGAGCCATGAGGGGTGTGCAGAGTAAAGAAGATCCTGGCAACCCCAGCAAGGGCGGTCACTGGACAGAGGATCCCCTGGCCTGGGAGGTCTCCAGGGAGGCCGGTGTGGTCAGTGCATCTGCTAAGGTGGAACAGAGGACACCTGAGAGGGACCCCTGAGTGGCCCAGGTGGTCTATTTATGGCAATTTGGCTGTAAGAGGGACTGTCTAATCCCGGATATTCAGAGGCCTGAGTGCAGTGTTATTGTGAGTGTGTGTACATATGTGTATATATGTGAAGGACTCTAAGTGTGTGAATGTATGTGCATGGAACCGTATGAGTACACGTGGGAGCGAGTGTGCATGAGAATCTGAGTGTGGAACTGCTGTGAGTGCCTAAGCAAATGTGAGGATGAGCGTTAAGTGAATATGTATGTGTATGTAAGTGCATATGAACGTGAGTGCAGGCATATGAACGTGAGTGCAGGCATATGAATATGACAGCAAGTGTTAAGAATCTGCATGAGACTGCACATGTGAATGTAAGGGTGAATGTGTTTGTATGTGCCTGTGTTGCAGCTGGGACGACAGATCAGCAGCCCTGAAAGGGACTGAGTCCAGAGATCCTGGGATGTGGTGAGGGTGCAACCTGGTATCAGGAGTCCCAGGAAACCTGAGGTCAGGTTGTTCACTGTGGACAAGAGGCTGGTGGGATCAACCAAGAAGGGGGAGCATGTGGGCAAAGGTCTAGACTGGAGGAGGCACCTGCCACAGCTGCTCATGGAAACAGACAGCATGGGGGGAGGTGAGTCAAAGGTCTTAGAGCTGGTGACCTAAGGATCGTGACCCGCGCAGGTTTCAGAGTGGGACCGTGGGCTTTGGAAGCATATCTCACCAGGCTCCGAGGCTCGGGCTCACAGTGGGAGGGAAGATCTGGCCTGGGCAGGACAAGGGGCGGTAGGGGGTACAGTCCCCTCTCTCCTTCTAGTTGGGCAAGAGAAGAGGTGTCCTGGGAGTGGAAGGGCATATGTAGCAATATCTGGGCCAGATGGACCCTGGATCCCAGGTGTACCACGTGCCCCTGCCCCTCTGTGACTTCACTATTGAAGATATTTCCAGGGAGGCCTCTGGGGGGCACTCCAGGCTCACAGGACCCCTAGCGCTATTTGCATGAAATTCATTTGCATGTTCCTCTGGGCTGAGTGTTGGGAGTGTTTGAAGGAGAGAGGGTAGGCAACACGATTTCTGGGGGCATTATCCCACTCCACCCACTGGCTTGGACTCCTATGGCTATTGTTTGCGATCCAGCCCACTCCCACCTGTATATACATCTCCCCCCAAAACACATACCCCCAAACAGGCTAGAAGGAGGGACACACTCGCAAACACACAGACATACACACACACAGCTTGCAGGTCCTATATGCAAGCCTCAGTTCCCCTGCTGAGGAGCCAGAAAGACCATCCTAAGATCCTGTCTTGAGATCCTGCAGGCCTCCCTGAATGTACACCAAAGAGACCCCTCTAGCAGTCAGAGGGGAGAAGTCCCACCCCAGACCACCCTATCCCAGCCCCAACTCCAACCTTCTTCCTTGTCAGTGTTATATTACCCAATAAGCAAAGTCAGCACAGGCTTCCTTGTGCTTACTTACAAACTGATCTGTAGTGAACCATTTCTCATCCCAACCCCCGCCCCTCCCAACCTCATCGATAATGTTTCTGTGTCTGGCTGGCACCTGTCTCTCTTCCAACCTCACAGCACCTTCCTTACAGAATCAAGGCTTTTTCAAATTGACAGTCCCTGACAGGGTTCAAGTACCCATTACTAACCTGTAGTGAACAGCTTCATATGTTTTTTTACCATAAATGTGGTGAAATCCATGTGAAATTGCTCAGTACTGATTAGTAAACACAAGTAAACCGCCCTTACCTTGCTTATCCGGTAATCCACCCCAGATCTGGATCCTCACCTTTGTCCATCCCCCCAGCCCCAGAACTCTTGCCCCATCCCAGCCTTCATCTCTACCCTTGATCCTTCCAGCCTCCTTCTCCCTCATCCTCACCCCCCTTCCCTTTGTGCCCCACCGCCCTCTGCCTGTACTCCATCCTTCTTGCTCTTGGAGCTGCGACTCCCCACAGACACTGGGGTCCCCAGAGGCACCGTCCTTTGTCTCTGCTCCCCGCCCATCGCTCTGGGCACCCCGCGCCCCTTACTCACCACCTCGCTACTGCCTGGGCGGGAGTCGGCGGCCTCCGCGCGGCCAGCTCTTTATTCCTCCTTCTGACGCGCTTCACTCCTCCCGCCGCCGCTGCCATCGCCGCGCCCGCCTCTGTCGGGACTGGAGCCTCCGCGGGAGCGCCGCCCGCCGCCTTGGCCGGGCCTGTCTGTCCACCCCGCGTGCGCAAGGAGGGGCCTCCCCAGCCTCTCCAGGGGCCAGCTGGTGGGGCGGGGACGTGGGGCTGTGACCCCCGACGACTGAGCAGAGAGGCCAAGCAGAAGCGGGGAGGGTTGTGCATAGCAGGAGTGGCGGCTGGCCCGTAGTCCCTACCGCCTCCCTCAGAGCTAAAATTTGGGATTTCTGCTTCGGGAGAATCAGCTCCTCCCATTACAGAGCTGGAGGTTGGGGAGGACCCTCCGCACCCCAGTGTGAGCACAGCTGCTGGCCACGCCCCACCTTGGGGTTCCAGCATGGGGGGGTTAGCCCCGCAGAGGCCCAAGGGCGCCCCGTGAGAAGTTACTCGCCCGCGGGGGCCGCCCGCTGTGGCCACGCGGGCCATGCCTCCGCTGCCGCTGGAGCGGGACCCCCGGCAGCAGCGCCACGTCTCCTTGGTGGTCCGATACTTCATGGTCCCCTGCAACGTCTGTCTGATCCTGCTGGCTACCGCCACACTGGGCTTCGCCATCCTGCTCTTCCTCAGCAACTGTACGTGGCCCCCAGGTGGCCCTAAGCTGGCACTCTTGTCTGTCGAGTTCCTGACCACCCACCTCCCCACAACCCCAGGAGCCCGAGGGCAGATGGGATCCCTGGCATCTTCTGGGGACAGGATCTCATGTTCCTGGGTTTGTGGAGGGGGACCCTCCTGCAGTGGGAGCAACTTTCTCCTGGAGTTGGCAAGGGAGTTGCCCTGGAAACATTGGGGTGTGGGGGGTTGGGATCAGGTCATGCATGTTACTGGCTGGCCTGGCAGTTGTCAGACTGTGACCCCTGCAGCTGGAGGGGTAAAGAAAAGCCAGGACCTCCCTGTCAGTGGGGGTCAAGGCCAAGGCTCCCAGTTAGAATTTCTGTAGCTGGGGCTGGGAAGGGTACTAGTGGACCCGGCAGGGGAGTGGGGTGTGGCTGGCAGGGGCATGGAGGATGAAGTATGGGTTCCTAGGGCTGGAAAGCAGAGTGTTGGGTAGCTAGGACTGGAGGATGAGGTTGGGGGGTAAGGGCATGGATTATAGGGTGTGGGTGGCCAGTGGCAAGGAGGGGCAGGGACAGGGCAAGCAAAGGACCTAACTAGGAGATTTGTTTCTTCCAGATAAACCTGGGACCCACTTCATGCCAGCACCTCTGCCTCTGGATGGTGAGTGGGGCCTTCAGCCAAGCTGAAGGATCTGTGCCCGGGGTGGGGGCAGTGGTCTCTCTTGGGACACGTAGGGTGTGTCTGAAGGTAGGAAGCAGTTAGGTCCCTACTGGGACCAGGAGCCTTCATCTGCGTACCTCCTGTGCTGGCTGTGGTTGATAACTTCTCTGAGCCTCTACCCTCTTGTCATGAAATTGGGACCAAGTCCCCAGAATCCACAGGCTGTGAGAGGTCCTCAGACAGTGTGTGCATACAGGGACAGGACTGGACAGAGATGGAGGCTCTGGGAGTGGACTTGAGAACCCATAGCAGGAGGGCCAGCTGTCTGGGGAGGGGTGTGGCGCTTGGGATCTTTCTCTGGGACTGAGCAGTTTTGACTGAGGAGGTGAGTGCATGGTGATGAAAGGGGCAGGGCTGACCCTCTTGACCCTTTTTGTGGAGTGGGACCAGGGTAGCTGTGTGGGGACTGCTGTCATTAAGCTAATGTGGGAAGGAAGGAAGGAAACAGTTAGTGCCCTAGTTGGGATGACGGAAGGGGTGTATGTATGTGTGAGTGTGTGTGAGGGTGGGGTTAGTGGGCCATGAGGAATTGGGAAAGAGTGTTTTTGCCCTGCCTCACCCCATCTCCCATAAGTTCCCAGGTTTACTTTCAGAATCTGCCTCTAACTGAGGCACCTTGCTAGGCAGCCTGTGGTTCCTCTCTAGGTGTGTAGACTTCATGGGATGTGGGTCTCACCCTAAGCTCTCCTCTCTAGGCATGCCACTGTTTGCACGATTGGTCAGTCATTTCCTGGGTCAGGACCTCCCTCCCTCCGTCTCTTGCTCCAGTTAGGGCTTCAGCTGTTGCCTCCAGCCCTGATTTCCCCATGGAAACCCATGGGCTTCTCTCAAACAGGATACTCCATGGTTCCCTCAGAGCCCCAAAGTTGACCTGCAGGGAGGGGCCTGCCCCAGGTCTAGAGTCATCTGGCCAGGGTAGGGGGAGGCTTGTGACCTTTGGGGGCCTCAGGCTGGGGAACATTGTCTCTCTCTCTTTAGGGACCCTCACCTTGCCCCCCACCCCTTCCCTTCCTTAGCCCTAGCCCTGGGGCAGGAGGGTGTGACTTAGACTAGTCTGTTCCAGCAACACTGGGGAAGGTCAAGAGTGTTGGTCGCAGGGATGCAGCTGACTGGCTTCTGTGTGCTGTCAAGTTGGTCTAGCTCAGTGACCCTGTATAGGGTTTCCAGGGAGTGGCTGGGGAGTCTGAACCACCTACTTTGTGACATAAACACATCTTGCGGTCCAGTGCTTTATCCCACAGTGTCACACCAGGACTCCAGGTTCCTATAGTGTGTGGATAAGAAGTCTCGGATTGGGCCCAGGAGTGAGGCTACCTTCCCCATCACCAACACCCACAACCCCCTCTCCTGAAGCCCCAGAGGTAGTGGACCTCTCTCTCCTCACTCATATTCCCTCCTCACATTGGCACACCATCCAACCATGCGCTCGTGGACTACTACATGCCCTAGTGTCTTCGCTGGGAGCACCAACCCACCACACACTTGTTACTGAGGCGGGGCTGAGGCATCTGGCTCAGTCCTCCTCCAACCCGAGACCAGGAGGCAGTTAAATATAGCCTGCGCCTACAGGCTGGCTATATAAAGCTGCTGCCACCTCCAGCATTGCAAGGGAGGCTTCGGCACATGGGTACATGGGAAGCGGAAATGAGTGGGGTGCCTGTAGGAGCCTGGTCTGGGGAGGTCCTAGCAGGTCCCAGAGGTGACCTACAGCTCACAGGTACCTGTGTTTGTGAGGGCAGCAGCATGGGCAGTGAGTAGGTGCTGACCAGAGAGGCTCTGCCATTTATAGCAATGTGATGATGTCATGCATTTTGACTTGGGCCTCCACTTTCTCCTCTGCAAAATGGGCATGAAGTGTTTTTGTGTGTGTGCACAATGGTACATAAGCCAAGCAAGGCGTGACTTGTAGAATGCAGAGAATGGTGTGATGATTTGTGTTTGCATGTGTTACGTGCATGTTTATGTGTATACAATGCATATGTGTTTTTGCATGCAGGTGTGAGTGTTTGCATATTTGTGTGTACCTGCATTGTGTGTACCTGCAGACAACAATATGTAAATGTTGTCTCATGCGTACCTGTCTGTGCGTACCTCTGGAAGCTTGAGCCTGCCGGGGTGGCAGGCATATAAATGAGCAATCTTGAACAGCCCCAGCATAGGCATGGGGAGGCTTCCTGGAGGCTGTGGTTTCTGAGTTGAATTTTGGGAAAGAGGAGATGCTATTTAGGGCTGGGAAAGAGTAGAGTATTCTAGTCCAGCTCAGCAACCCCCTAACATGGCCAAGGAAACTGCAGCCTTAGCTGCAAGGATGAGGAGCCAGGACCTGTTCCGCTGACTTGGGGACCAGTGCTCAAGCCTTGGATCTCTGCCCCGTAGGCACACTGGGCTCCTCTTAACTCCTCAGCCATGTCCAGTCCCTCAAAGTGTACCCCAGGATACCTCTGACCTCCTGCCCCCACACTGTGTCTTCCACACAGGGGCTCCAGACCTAGCCACAGGGCATGGTAATTGGAGAATATAGTGAGTGGGAGTTTGTGGTGACCAAGTAAACATGGTCATTGAGTGATGTGGTGACAAAAGGGTGTGGTGACCAGCAGAGAGTGGAGTGAGATGGAGTGGTCAGCTGGGCATCAGCAAGTGTCTGTTGTGTGGGTGGGAAGGTGCTTGGGGCCCAGGGAGGGAAGACTGGAGGCCAGAGAAGGGTGTGGAGAGGCGCCAAGGGTGTAAACAGCTTTGAATCTGATCTGAGTCAAGATGGAGAGTATGGTAAGGGGACAGCATCTTGTCACTGTAGCAGTGACTGTTAGTAGCTAAGTTCTGGGCACCTTGGGCACTTGGCAGATAATTAGCTTATTTCACCTCACAACAAGTTCTGTTGCCCCTGTTTATAGATGGAGAAGCAGAGGCACAATGAGGCTACAATGCCAAATGAGACAGAACTAGGACAGCCTGGCAGCCTTGGGCACATGTCGCTGGGGGGCATGAGAAAAGGGTTCGACTCTCCTCCTCTTGCTTATGGTCCAGTTGCAGAGCCCCTCGGGTTGTTGCAGGCCCATGGGGTGGGGGTCCACACAGGCCCCACTCTATTTGCACCCAGCCTGTGCAGGTGGGGGTGGGGATTTCAGACAGACACAGCCGCCATCTCCAGGCAGGCTGTTACCATGGTAACTACAGGCTCCTGGGCCTGTGCAGTCCTTCCTTTCCTAGAGATGGGGGTGGGGGCTCCTCTTCCTACTCTGTTTCCCAAGCTGTCTGGGAGGTGAAGGGTGGGTGGGGAGCCACACCCTTCTCCCCATGACTTATTAATGATAATTAGGCTCAGTTGAACGTTTATTGAATATAGGCAGCTACAGCTCCTAATGGGCCTCCTCATCCACCCATGAGTGGCAATCCAGCGAGCATCAGTGCTAAGTGGGAATCCTGGAGGGTTCAGCCTGCCCCTGACCCATCTGAGGCCTTGGTCCGGCACTCAGGCCTAGGAGCTTAAACGTCTGCCCCTGTTCTTTGTCTAGTGTTGTCTCTGGTGGTAGTTCATAGGCTCAGGGACCTATAGCTGATATCTTAACCTCTCTGAACCCCCTTCCTCTGCCACTAGATGGGGGTCAGGTGTAGCTCATATAGGACTGGTGTAGAGGTCAGCAGTGGACTGTGGTCAGGGCCTGTACTGGCACGTGGCCAGCTTTCATTCGATGTCGGCTGTTAGCGACACAATGTTAACTGAAATCTTTAGAAAGTAAAAGGTCACCATGGATGGTTTGGGTTTCAAGTGCTGAATATCCAGGTGGAAGCAGGAGGACCAGGCAGGAAGGGGGCGGTATGGGGGTGGGGGAGGGTGGCTTGGGTTTTGGATTGGATAAGAGAAGGTTTTGGGGTACCTGAGAACTCCAGAGAGAGACATCTGGCCAGCCTGAAGCTGGGGAGGCCTGGGAAGACTGGAGGGCCTGTTTGGTGCCGTGGGAGAGTCATATTGGAGAGCCACAGAGGCTGGAGGCAAGTGTGGACCTGGGGAGGCTGGCTGAGGGCATGGCGGATGGGAAAGGATGAAGAGGGCTCTCCCCAGAAGTTTAGGGAAAAAGAGAAGAGATAGTATGTGAGGACAGGGCAAGGGGAGATGCCTCGAGAAACTCGCAAGGGTGGGGAAGGGAGGATTTGATGTTGGAAGAAAGAAGGGCCTCCAGAGGGGTCATCGAGGTCCCCTGAGTGCATGCAGTATATGCAGGTAACGTGAGACTCATAATAAGAGGGTGTGGAGCAATATATAAACGTGTGTTTGATATGTATGCAGGTAGACATCATGTGAAACATTTTAGTGGGTGTCTACCTGGTGGTGATGAGCACACACATGTTCCCAAGTGAATATGTGTGGACATGAGTGTGTACATATACAAATGTCCATGGAGTGTATGTCATTGGATTGCGTGCAGCACTCTACAGGTGTGTGGATGTGAACCCTGGGATCTGGCAGGGTCAAGCTCTGACTTCCCTCCCTCCCTCTCCAGCATGCCGGGGGATGCTGTGTGGCTTTGGTGCTGTGTGCGAACCCAGTGCGGAGGGCCCAGGCCAAGCCTCCTGCGTGTGCAAGAAGAACGCCTGCCCCAGTGTGGTGGCCCCTGTGTGTGGATCTGATGCCTCCACCTACAGCAATGAGTGTGAGCTACAGCGGGCTCAGTGCAGTCAGCAACGCCGAATCCGCCTGATTAGCCGGGGTCCTTGTGGTGAGTAGGGGAGGGACCAGGTTTGTGTGTGTGCCGTGGGGGTGCTATGAGAGGTGGGACCCAGACCTAGGGAAGGGGGAGATGGGTGAGGGGCAACACTTATGAGTAGGGTATGGCCTAGTGGGGCCTAGTAAGAGGCTGGCAAGAAGGCCAGGTAAGTGGGGTGGGGTGGGGGGCAGAGCCCCATGGCAGGGTGAAGTCTGGTGAGTAGGCAACCCAGGGTCAGGTGGGGTCGGGTGGGTGGGGCTGATCAAGGACAGCGCCCAGTGTGGGTGGGGCCTGAGAGGTGGGCTTAGTAGCAAGGGTGGGGCCTGAAGATTGGACGGGAGTTGTGTGAAATGGCTGTGGGACCTGCTGCTGGGTCAGTGGTTTACCAGGCTGGACCCTAAACCTCTGCCCATAGGGTCCCGAGACCCCTGCTCCAACGTGACCTGCAGCTTCGGCAGCACCTGTGCCCGCTCTGCTGATGGGCAGACTGCTGTGTGCTTGTGCCCCACCTCCTGCCCAGGGACCTCCCAGGGCACAGTGTGTGGCAGTGACGGTGCCGACTACCCCAGCGAATGCCAGCTGCTGCGCCATGCCTGTGCCCGCCAGGAGAACCTCTTCAAGAAGTTCAATGGCCCTTGTGGTGAGCACCGCTTCTGTGGGTGGTGTGTGCCAGGCATGTGCAGCCGCAGAAGCAGCAGTCTGACGCCACCCACTGTCACTAGACCCCTGCCAGGGCACCCCTGATGACCCGAGTCGCATATGCCGTGTGAATCCTCGCACGCGGCAGCCGGAGATGCTCCTGCATCCCAAGAACTGCCCCCCGAAGCGGGCACCTGTCTGCGGGGATGATGGCGTCACCTATGACAGTGATTGTGTGATGGGCCGGACTGGGGCTGCGCGTGGCATTCTCCTCCAGAAGGTTCGCTCTGGCCAGTGCCATCCACAAGGTAGGTGCAGTTCTAGTGGGGCACTGTGGGCTCATCTGTCCCACCTCTGCATGCCACCTGTCCCCAGACCCACAAGACCTTCTCCCACCTCCTACATCCAAGATGTCTGAGACTCGGCCACTCAGTGGTAGTCTTGCACCCCACATCTGCACCGCCCCCACCCCCGCCGATCCGCCCCTACAGACCAGTGCCTGGAGTCCTGCCAGTTCCATGCTGTGTGCCTGTCCCGCCGGGGCCGCCCCCACTGCTCCTGTGACCGTGTCACGTGCGACAGTGCCTATAGACCCGTGTGCGCCCAGGATGGGCACACGTATGACAATGAATGCTGGCTCCACCAAGCTGAGTGCCAGCAGCAGCGTACCATCCCTGTGAGGCATCGGGGCCCATGTGGTGAGCGCTTGCCCCGTCTGTACCCTTTGGTCCACATCCTTTCCTGTCATCCCCATCACACGCCATCTGCATCCACGTCCCACCCTCCCTAAGTTCAAGTCAGGGGCCGGGCCACTGGGGACTGGGGTAACCGAAATGCTCAGAGGACAGTGACTGGGATCCTGGTGCAATCGATCTATCTTGGGCTGCATCCTCGAGGGAGGTGGCGGAGTGTGGGGGAAGCTGATGAGACAGGGCCTCACCCTCTTAGGGAGCAGAGTTTGGGGTTGGGCTTGGAGCGTGTCTTGCATGGGCCAGGGCAGGGGCATCTCTGCCCACCACCTCTTCCTCTCTCTTGGGCAGGTAGTTTGTCTGTCTTTCCTGTCTTTCTCTGTCTGTTTGTGTTTGCCCTGTGGGCCTTCCTTCCCTCTTGGCTCCGCCTCTTGTGTCTTCCAGCTGACCGGCTGGCAGGAGGAGGTGCTGCACCTGCACCCCGGAGCCCACAGCCCGAGGTCGGCCCCCGGTGCGGCAGGGGGGAGGGGTGCTCGCTGCTGCCTGGCCTTGCTGTCCCCAGAGCAAGTTGACAGACACCCCCCCCTTCCGTGCGGCTCTGGGTGTGACTCGGGATGTGGACTCCCCCCCCCCCCAAACACACACACACACACACACACACACACACACACACATACACACATGCACAAGTGAGAGCCCTCTGCGTTGGTTGTCCTTCCGAGCCAGGGGTAGGGCTGGGTGGGGCTCTCCAGATCCCTCCCTGTGATCTGATGGGTGGTCAGAAAGTTCCCTGTGTTGATAGACAGCTAGCTGTCCATGCCTCACACCCAGGGCTGCTGCTGGTGACGCTTAGGTCTGTGCCCCGTCCTTTGTTGTCTGTTGTGTTTCTGTCCCTCTCTCTGCTGTGTACTGTGCATCTGACCCCTCTCCCTGGCCCACGCTCGTCCGCTGCCGTCCTCCACCTGGAAGGGTCTGCTGCGTGGGGGGGCTTTATGCCTAGCAAGGGACAGGGGTCGCTAAGTGCCACGTCTGCCCCCCAGGCCAGCCCCCATCTCCTTGCCGAGGGGTGCAATGCCCATTTGGGGCAACGTGCGCTGTGAAGAATGGTGAGGCTTCCTGTGAGTGCCCACAGGCATGCCCAGGAATCTACGACCCCGTGTGTGGCAGTGACGGCATCACGTACGGCAGTGCCTGTGAGCTGGCAGCCACGGCCTGTGCTCTCAGCCGGGAGACCCACGTGGCAAGAAAAGGGCCCTGTGGTCAGTGATGGGGAAGGGTCTTAGTGGAAGAGGGGTTGTTGGGAGGCTTCTGGCTATGTGGTGATAGAGCCCCCTCTCCAGACCGCTGTGGGCAGTGCCGCTTCGGGGCCTTATGTGAGGCCGAGACAGGGCGCTGTGTGTGCCCCTCCGAGTGTGTGGCCTCGGCCCAGCCTGTGTGTGGCTCTGATGGGCAAACCTATGCCAGTGAGTGTGAGCTACATGTGGCAGCCTGCACCCGCCAGATCAGCCTTCACGTGGCCGCAGCCGGACACTGCCGTGAGTGGGTGAGGTGGCTGGGTGGTGGCGCCCCCTCCAAGCATGCTGGCCCTGCTGACCAGGCTCTTTACCTACAGTAACCTGTGGAGACATGGTATGTGCCTTCGGGGCCGTGTGCTTAGCGGGGCAGTGTGTGTGTCCACGGTGTGAGCGTCCCCCACACGGTCCTGTGTGCGGCAGTGATGGCATCACATACCAGAGCATGTGTGAGCTCCGAGAGGCATCCTGCCGGCAGCAGACACATATTGAGGAGGCCCGGGCAGGGCCATGCGAGTTGGGTAGGCTCTGGAGGCTGCTGGGTTGGGGGTTGCTATGTGCCCTAGGCAGACCCTGTGGTGACTTAGCTCCTCCCACTCCGCCCATAGCCGAGTGTGGTTCGGGAGGCTCCGGCTCCGGGGAAGACGGTGAGTGTGAGCCTGAGCTGTGCCGGCAGCGTGGTGGCGTCTGGGACGAAGATTCGGAGGATGGACCATGTGTCTGTGACTTCAGCTGCCAGAGTGTTCTACGGAACCCGGTGAGGCCCCTCTCACGGCCCCAAGACAGCCTCAAGAAGGGGCCACAGCCACCCTCACTGAGTTCTCTCCTTTAGGTTTGTGGCTCTGACGGGGTCACCTATGGCACCGAGTGTGAACTAAAGAAAGCCAGGTGCGAATCACAGCGAGAATTGTACGTGGCAGCTCAGGGAGCCTGCAGAGGTGAGGGGATATGGTACAGGGTGTGTTCCGGTTCTGTGCCCGAGCCTACATGTGTATGTATGTGTGCACATGGGTATGTGTACATATTGACATGTATATACCTGCCAGTCACTAAATTTACTGAGCAGGTGTGCAGGTAGGGCCTGGCCTTGGTGCAGTGAACCAACCAGGCCTTGTCTCCTGGTGCTATTTCTTGTGGGGGCAGGGCAGTGATGGTGACTCAGTAAACATGTCACATTTGTTATGTGTTAACATATGCCCACTCACACACTGCTGTATATTTACAAGTGCATGTGTGAATGTGCGTGGCTTAGGAGTTATGCAAGTGAATAAGTGAATGCCTGCACACATTTATATGCATGTGCACTTTTTGCTTTGTTCTTGTTAAGTGCCTTTGAGTCAATTTCAACTCACAGCAACCCTATATAGGTTCCTGAAGAGCAGTTGGTGGGTTTGAACCACCAACCTTGTGATTAGCAATCCAGTGCTTATCCTATAGCACCACACCAGGACTCCTGTGTGCATAGCTCTCTTTAAACTTGTATGACGAAAGCTATGTCATTGATCTTTGTGTGTTCAACTCTGTGTCCTGTATGTTTATGGTCATGTATGCTCTATAACATAGCCATGTGTGTCCTATGTATGCAAACCTACATGCTTTCTTTGTGCATGTGGTCCTGTGTGTTCCAATATGTCATACGTGATGTGGGGGGTCTTCCCCTGTTACCCTAGCCCGAAGGCCCCCAGGTTGGAATTTGTTATCAGGAGGGTGGAGAGGGGTGGGAGCTGAAACCCAGGTCCCAGTGTGCACCCTGTTTCCTTTCTCACAGGTCCTACTGCTGCCTCCTTGCCGCCCTTGGCTCCCCCACACTGTACCCAGACCCCCTATGGTTGCTGCCAGGACAATGTCACTGCTGCCCGGGGCGTGGGCCTGGCTGGATGTCCCAGTGAGTACCCACCTGCCCTGGCCTCACCCCAGGGGAAGATGTGAGCACATGACCATGCCCTTACCTACCTGGTCTTTCAGGCGTGTGCCAGTGCAACCCACATGGCTCCTATGGTGGCTCCTGCGACCCAGCCTCTGGCCAATGCTCCTGCCGCCCGGGTGTTGGGGGCATCAAGTGTGACCGCTGTGAGCCTGGCTTCTGGAACTTCCGCGGAATTGTCACTGATGGCCGGAGTGGCTGCACCCGTGAGTGACCAGGGCCACTTCATGTGTCCACCCTCTGTGGCCTGAACCCGGGGTCTCTGTCCCACACTTGGCAGTGACGGGAGGGCGGGGGGGTCCTTGCCAACAAAGAGGAGCCAGAACTTGGATGTCAGTTGGCTTCTTCTCCCCACCCTCAGCCTGCAGCTGTGACTCCCGTGGAGCTGTGCGGGATGATTGTGAGCAGATGAGCGGGCTGTGCTCCTGTAAGCCTGGGGTGGCAGGACCCAAGTGCGGCCAGTGTCCAGATGGCCGGGCCCTAGGCCCCACTGGCTGTGAAGCAGGTGAGGGCAAGGCCACGTTCCCTATATTGGGGCAGGTCCTGGCATGGGGACCAGGCTGCTTCAGCTGGCAGGGGCTCTATATTTGTGTCCCCAGACTCTGTGGTGCCTGTGACCTGTACAGAAATGCGCTGTGAGTTTGGCGCCACGTGTGTAGAAGAAGCCGGCTCCGCCCACTGCGTGTGCCCAACACCCACATGTTCAGAGGCCAATGCAACCAAGGTAAGTAAGGTTGCTATGAGTGAGGGGTGTGGGTGCAGGAGAGGTGCAGGCCCCCTGAGCCTCTTTGTCCTGTGCCACCGCAGGTCTGTGGGTCGGACGGTGTCACGTATGGTGATGAGTGTCAGCTGAGGACCATCGCCTGCCGCCAGGGCCTGGACATCTCTGTCCAAAGCCTCGGGCCCTGCCAGGGTGAGGCCCTGCGTCCACCACCCCCATATCAATCAGAGGCTTGACTATGCCCTGACCTCCTATCTTTCCTTCATCCCCAACTTTCCTCCTTGCAGACTCCATCACTCCCAGCGTCCACCCAACACCTGTAGCTACCGCTGGGCCTGCCACTCACAGGGCGCTACCAGCACCTCCCAGTGCCCTGCCCCTGGCTCCGAGCAGTACCCTCCACAGCCAGCCCACCCCTCGACCCTCATCTCGACCATGGACCACAGCTAGCATGCCCAGGACCACAGGGCGGCCAGCACTGACCGTACCCCCCATAGCACCCCAAATGGTAGCCAGCCTGGCCACATCAGCCTTCGGGGAATCGGGCAGCGCTGATGGCGGGAGTGGTGACGAGGACCTAAGTGGAGACCTGGAAGCCAGTGGAGCTGGCTCTGGGGGTGCGCATGGGCACGGAGCACGGGCGGGCAGGGCCTCCAAGGTACCACGGGCTCAGCTCACACTGCATCTCCCCAGGACTCGAGCGCCCCAAGGACGGCAGCGCTGTGACCCCCGGCCCTCCCATTGAGAGGGCTTCCTGCTATAACTCGCCTCTGGGCTGTTGCTCAGTTGGCAAGACGGCCTCGCTGGATGCAGAGGGCTCTAACTGCCCGGGTGAGTGAGTGACCGTGGGGCTGGGGAGCGGGGCAAGTCCCCCAGACAGCTGTCTGGAATGTGGCTCTGGTTCACGTCTGCTGATGGTCTTCTGGCCTTTGCACATGTGTGTGCATGGTCTTGACCTCTGCACACGCGTGTGTGTGCCTAAGGCCTGTGGCTAACATGTCTCTCTCGTCATCAGCCAGCCTGGGGCGTGGCCCTGAGAAGTCTGTGTGGTAACTGACACCAGTCCCCGTCCAGGGGTCCCCACTAACTTCATCACCATCTGCCTAACCTCTACCTGCCCTTGCCCTTGTAGCTGGCTACCCGCCTGCCATACCCAAGGCTGGTTAGGAAGCCAGGCGGCTGCTCGCCAGGGCCTCACTGCCCCCTCCCCCACAGCCACCAAGGCATTCCAGGGCCTGCTGGAGCTCGAGGCAGTTGAGGGCCAGGAGCTGTTTTACACACCTGAGATGGCTGACCCCAAGTCGGAGCTGTTTGGGGAGACGGCTCGGAGCATTGAGAGTGCGGTGAGGATGGGCCTGGGGCAGAGAGTAGAGAGCAGCATACAGACCCAGAAGTATGGCGGGCGGAAGTGCTCAGTGAGGCTCAGACACTCCCAAGAGCCTTGTACCCACTCCCTGTCCACAGTTGGATGACCTCTTCCGGAACTCAGATGTCAAGAAGGACTTTCGAAGTGTGCGCCTTCGGAACCTGGAGCCCAGCAGCTCAGTCCGTGCCATCGTAGAAGCCCACTTTGACCCCAGTGAGTCTTTGTGCCCTGAGTCCCTCCCAGGAGATGGTAGAGCTTGGTGCATGCTTTCCTGTACTTAACACCCTTCTTCCCCCAGCCACGACTTTCAGGGCGACCGACGTGGGCCGGGCCTTGCTCCGGCAGATCCAGGTGTCCCGACGCAGGGCACTGGTGGTGAAGCGGCCATTACAGGAACATGTACGTTTTATGGACTTCGGTGAGTACCGCTAGGCCTTACCTCCTCCCTAACCCGTGCCCCGGCCCTGCCCCCTCCCTACCCATGCCCCCGTGGACCTCCTCTGTTCCCCCAGACTGGTTTCCAGCGATCATCACCTCAGGAGCCACCACTGCCATGGCCGGAGCCACCACTGCTGGCCACGTTCCCTCTGCCTCTGTGACCTCCCGGGCCTTCTACCCAACTCACACAAGCCGGCCCCCTAGCAGAACCACTGCCCCTCCTACCACCCGTCGGCCCCCTACTACCGCCCCGAGCCGCCGTGTGCCCGGACACCGGCCCCTGCTCCCCGGCACCCCACGGCCCCCGCGGCCCTGTGACTCACAACCTTGCCTCTACGGTGGGACCTGCCAGGACTGGGATGGCAGCCAGACCTTCAGCTGCAGCTGCCCCGAGGGGAGGGGGGGCACCATCTGTGAGACAGGTGGGAGAGCATGTCAGGTAAATTAGAGGAGTTAGGGCTAAGGGTGGTAGACAAGTTGGGTGGGGGCATTGCAGAATTGGAGGCCAGGTGAGGCAGAGTGTGGGGTGTGTAGGGTGGGTTCCTCTCCCCTCCCCGGCCTGACCCTCCCCATTGTCCCACAGCACTGAACCCTGTGGTACCATCCTTTGGGGGCCGCTCCTTCCTGGCCTTCCCCACACTGCGCGCCTACCACACTCTGCGCCTGGCCCTCGAGTTCCGGGCACTGGAGCCTCAGGGCCTGCTGCTGTACAATGGCAAGGCCGATGGCAAGGACTTCCTGGCACTGACTCTGCTGGGGGGCCGAGTGCAGCTCAGGTGGGCAGGACAGAGCTGGGGAGGGGCCGTAGTTGAACCGGAATGACTTGGGAGGGTGTGGCTCAGGGGGGTGAGACTGGGGAGCCATGAGATAGAGGTGGCCATGCTGATCACCATCCAATGTTCCCCAGGTTTGATACTGGCTCTGGGCCCGCAGTACTGACCAGCTCGGTGCCCATTGAGCTGGGCCGTTGGCACCGCCTGGAGCTGTCGAGACACTGGCGCCAGGGTACTCTCTCAGTGGACGGCGAGACCCCAGTCCTTGGTGAAAGCCCCAGTGGCACTGACGGCCTCAACCTGGACACCGATCTGTTCGTGGGTGGTGTTCCTGAGGACCAGGCCGCTGTGTGAGCACTCGATCCTCTAAGCCTCACTTGACCAAACTCTGTTGTGGGCTTGTGCGTGGCATTAGGCCTGGGCAGCAAAGGGATAGGGAGGGATTGAGTGTGGAGGATGCTACACCCTGACCTTTACCTTGATCCCTGTCCATTGGCCTTGATCTTGCCCTATCTGTGTGTGGCATTCCTGAGGACCAGATTGTCCCCTCAGGAAGGTCTGGCCTGGCTCAGACATTTAGTCCTGACCATTAATCCTCAACCCCACCTCCTGGTTCTGTCCTGTTTGTGAGATCAGCCACCTTGTGAATACCAAGGAGGAGTCGGGGGATAGATTTGATACAGCCTTGGTCCCCGTCCCTGATCCTAGTGTATTGGAGGGTGAGTGGGTTGAAGCTGGCTGTAGAAGAGAATGCATCTATAGTCTAGCCTCTGACCTCTAACCTCTTCTTGGACGGCAGGGTGCTAGAGCGGACTTCAGTTGGCGTTGGTCTGCTGGGCTGTATCCGCCTGCTGGACATCAACAACCAGCAGCTGGAACTGAGTAGTCAGGGAGCTTCAACCCAAAGTGTCGGCGTGGGCGAGTGTGGGGGAGACCCCTGCCTGCCTAACCCCTGTCACGGTGGTGCCCCGTGCCAGGTTCTTGGGGCTGACATGATCCACTGCCAGTGCCCGCCTGGCCGCTTTGGTGAGGATGATATGGGGGTCTGGGAGTCTGGGGTAGGGACTCTTTAAGTCTCATGGGTTCCCCTCCATCCACTGCAGGCCTGACTTGTGCTAATGACCAGAACCCCTGCCTGCCCAACCCCTGCCATGGGGCAGCCCCCTGCCGAGTGCTACCTGAGGGCACGGCCAAGTGCGAGTGCCCCCTGGGACGAGGGGGTGCCTTCTGCCAGACAGGTGAGAGCCATGCGGTGTGTGGGCATCAAAGGTTATAAGTTAGGATTGAGGACTCATAGTCTGGTTAGAGAGCCTTTGGGTTTGGGTTCAGATTTGGGTCCGGGTTGGAGTTCAAGTTCAGCTCTAGACTAGAATTAGGTTTAGAGGTAGATTGGCACAGAATCTCAGGGAAGGAGGGAGGGAGGCTGTGGAGAACCAGGGGTCAGAACCCCGGTACCCCATGTGGTCCTGTCTCATGCCCTGCAGTCTCGGATCGGGAGGACTCCTGGCCCTTTCTGGCTGACTTCAACGGCTTCTCCTACCTGGAGTTGAAAGGCCTCCACACCTTCGAGCGGGACCTGGGGTCAGTGGGTCAGGGCTTGGAGGTGGGTATTCAATGGGTCCAGCTATGGGAGGCATGGGAAGACAACCCCTGTGTGGCTCATGTGACTCCAGAGAGAAGATGGCACTGGAGGTGGTGTTCCTGGCTCGAGGCCCCAATGGCCTGCTCCTCTACAATGGGCAGAAGACGGACGGCCGGGGGGACTTTGTATCACTGGCACTACACAACCGCCACCTGGAATTCCGATATGACCTGGGCAAGGGGGCAGCGGTCATCAGGTGGGTGACCCCAGGGACACAGGGATGGGCAGCTGGTGGACAGGACCTGCTCACGGTACCCCCTCCCCACTAGGAGCAAGGAACCTGTGGCCCTGGGTACCTGGATCCGGGTCTCGCTGGAGCGCAGTGGCCGCAAGGGTGCCCTGGGTATTGGTGATGGGCCCCGAGTCCTAGGGGAGTCCCCGGTAAGTTCCCGCCCCTCCTCTAGGGTGTGCACAGCCCCACCCCTCCAGCTCTTACTGAACTGTTTTCTCTCTCCTTGTCTGTGCCCTTCCCGGCTGTCTGTCTGTCGGTGGGTCTCTCTCTCTGCTCCCTGCTCTCTGGCTCTCGCTCTGCAACCCCCACCCCGCTCTTCGGATCTCAGAAATCCCGCAAGGTACTGCCCACTGCCTCCTCCTCCCTAGAGTAGCCTCCCTCCCACTAAGGAGCCCAGTGGCTGTTCTTGTGACTAACTCACCTCCCAGTTAGGCGCCCTTAGGGGCTCACCTGGCTCAGTGTCCCTGTGCAAGCCAGGTGGGTGAGCCTAGCAGACCACTCACCCAGTACCTCCCCCAGGTGCCACACACGGTCCTCAACCTGAAGGAGCCGCTCTACGTTGGGGGTGCCCCTGACTTCAGCAAGTTGGCCCGAGCTGCTGCTGTGTCCACTGGCTTTGATGGCGCCATCCAGATGGTACCTGGGGGCAGGGCCTGTGGGGAAGCTTTCCAGGGGTTTGTCCCAGCAGGGGACTCTCCAGGGGAGTTGGGGCTTATGGGGGGTAGGGATTCTTAAGAGGGGCCTGTGTGGGGCCACATACATGCAGGGTAGGTGGCAGCACAGAGCACATTTTTACACCCCACTCCCCACCCATCCATAGGTCTCCTTGAAAGGCCGGCAGCTGCTGACCGAGGAGAACTTACTTCGGGTGGTGGATGTCTCGTCCTTTGAGGACCACCCCTGCACCCGCCCCTCTGGCCACCCCTGCCTCAATGGCGCCTCCTGTCTCCCACGGGAGGCTGCCTATGAGTGCCTATGTCCTGGGGGCTTCTCGGGGTCACACTGCGAGAAGGGTGAGCATGTAGGGGCACAAGGAATGGGGGCCCTGGAACAAAAAGCCCTTCCGAGGACCCCCTTCATCTGTTGTGTCTTAGGGCTGATTGAGAAGTCAGCAGGGGACCTGGATGCACTGGCCTTTGACGGGCGGACCTACATTGAGTACCTCAACGCTGTGACAGAGAGGTAACGTCCCATCCTCTGTGGTAGGTTTGGTCCCATCTGCAGTGCAGGCGTTCACTTGGGCAAGCACCGTGGCCCTGCAGTCAGGAGGAAAGGGCATCCGCATCGCCCACTACCACCCCCCTCTGCTTCCCTCTCACTGTCTGTCTCTTTGTTTCCAAGCGAACTGACCAATGAGATCCCAGCGTAAGTAGCCCCCTGGACCCCCTGTATCTCCAAACTCACTTTCATCCATCTGCCTCTGCCCCTGGCCCACTGGCATCCCATCCTGAATCCCCTATCCCAGATGAAAGAGGATAGGGCCAGGGGCTGGTGTTTGTCTTTCTATGAGCCTCTGTCTCCCACCTTAGAAGCAAACAATCATTCCTACCCCAGACTCATGCCTGGGACCTCAGGATGCTCATTCTGCTGCCACCCAGAGTGTGCATGTGTGTGTGTACGTGTGCACAGTGCGAGTCTGCCTTGTGCTTGTTTGTGCACATGTGTGTAAATCTGTGAGCGGTGTACACATGTGAGTGTGCTGGCTTCTGGGCCTCTCTAGGGCTGCTGGCCTCAGCTCCACTCCATGCCCCCCCATGTGCTGAACCTGCCCCCCACCACCACCATGTGTGCTGCATGTATGTCTCGTGGGCCACCTTGTGTCACTGTTGGGTTCTTTGGGGAGTGGAGCCAGAGTCCCACATGTCTCCTGTGGACACTTCCTCCTCCCACCATGCAGTGTTCCCAATGGGGACGTGAGGTGGGGGGTGTACAGGACCCTCCCCTGCGCTTTGGCCTTTCTGTCCCCTGCTTACCTGCCACCCTCTCTTCCTACTTCTAAGCCTTGAAGTTCCAGATACCGGGGCCTCTCACAGGTGAGCACGTGGCAATGCCCAAGGGACCAGACTGCTGCCCCCACGCCATCGTCGTCCTCTCATCTCTGTCCAGCCATGTTACCACCTTCCTCACTGCCTCTCTGCTAGCCACTTGCCTTTCACCTGCCCTCTGTTCTGTGTCTGTCCCTGTCCGTCTCACTGTCCACGTCTGTCCATCTTCCCATCACATCTCCTTGAGTCACCCTCCTCAGCCTGGTGGCCATGGCAGTTGTGGCCCTGGGGTCCGGGGTGGCAGTTCCCACCACCTTCTGAGACTCTCTCCCCTCCTCCCCAGTGAGAAAGCATTGCAGAGCAACCACTTTGAGCTGAGTCTACGCACGGAGGCCACTCAGGGGCTAGTGCTATGGAGCGGCAAGGCCACGGAACGGGCAGACTATATGGCGCTGGCCATCGTGGATGGGCACCTGCAGATGACCTATGACTTGGGCTCCCAGCCCGTGGTGCTTCGCTCCACTGTGCCCGTCAACACCAACCACTGGCTTCGGGTCAAGGTGCACAGGTAGGCATGAAGCACACTGGCTAGTAGGGAAGAGGGATAGACATGAAGATACAGCAGCAATGTGTGCGCTGAGGGGTTCTTGTCTGGGAGCCGGGGAACCCCTGTTCTGCCAAGTGCTCCTTGGGGATGCACCTTGGGTCCATTCTATGCCCCTTGGACACCAGGTGCTCTCCTGGGGGTCAGTTAGCTCCCTAGGATGTTTTCACCCGGAAGGCATTAGATGGAGGTGACAATGGGGACCCTGGACTACCTGATGATCTCTCCACTCCCCCCCTAGGGCACAGAGGGAAGGGTCCCTACAGGTGGGCAATGAAGCCCCTGTGACTGGTTCCTCCCCACTCGGCTCCTCACAACTAGACACAGATGGAACCCTGTGGCTAGGTAAGTACTGGGGTGACAGAAGCCAGCCAAGGATCCCAAGGGTCAGGAAGGGCCAGACCCCAGCTCTAGGGCAGAGTTAACTTGGCCAGCCCAGGACAGCAGAGCCGGGTGGGTCAGGATTGGGCAGTTACTGCAGGTTGGTGCCCAGCCCTCATACCTTTAAGCTTCTAGGCGGTGACTCTCCCTTTGGCCTGCAGGAGGCCTGGAGAAACTGCCCACAGGCCAAGGGCTGCCCAAAGCCTACAGCACCGGCTTTGTGGGCTGCCTGAGGGATGTGGTGGTGGGCCGGCGCCTGCTGCACCTGTTGGAGGATGCTGTCTCCAAGCCCCGGCTGCGACCATGCTCCGCGCCCTGAGCCGGCTGGGCCAGGAGCCCCCGCTACCACCACTATCGCCCATCTGCTGTAATTATTTTCTATTTTTGTAAACTTGTTGCTTTTTGATATGATTTCTTGCCTGTGTGCTGGCTGGAGGGACGGCTGGCCCGGCCTCTCTTCCACCGAGCAGCTGCACTGCAGACAAAATCCGGAGCCGCAGTGGCAGGAGGGCAGGCTCAGCCAAACGCCATGGACACACACTCTGCCTTGACCCTGCATCCCTGGTGACTGTGCTGACTGTCCCTCTGTGTGTGTTTCATGAATCTCCTGTGCTGGACCCCTTGTCCCCAGGTTTATCGGTAGGTCTCTGCACATTGCCTCTCACGCCCTCTAGCAGGGACCTGTGTCCCTGGAGCAGATGGGCCTCGGGTTTTACCAGGAAGGTGCTGGGACTCCAGGGTGGCCCTTCCCCCAGTCCATCTGGACCTTTCTAAGGACTTCCTTTGAATTATTTCCCCTTAGTGGGATGCATTGGGGTTTGGGGCTAACCTCACCCTAGACCTCCGGTGCCAATACTGTGATGTATGTACATTGTTACTGTTAGGACTACATACCATGTCCCCTGGAGCTGTGTCCACCAGGCTCAGGATGCCAGGGAGGAGAATCCAGGTCCGGGTCATTTGGGGTGCCCTGACCCTCACAGGCCCCAACCCCATGGACATGGTCATGCCCTACTCGCTCCAGGTTGCTGAGGCCCCATGGGTGTGAAGGGGTTGTTCTCAGGTGTCTGCCTGCCTGCTTGGGCCCATGGCACCCCCTGCTTCTGATGGACCAGGGGCTTTGTGTATGGCATACGTAACACGGGGGAATGGGGACTTGGCCGTGTGGATGCCATGGCCGCCAGCACCTTCTAGTTCAAGGGTGAGGGATGGTGTCTATATCCAGGAAGGTGCAAGAGCCCAGGCTGTGGTGACATGGGTGACAGGTAGCTGCAGAGCCAGAACTGCCTTAAACTGCAGCTTTGTGTCCATTCTGTCCCCCTACCCTGTGTCTGTCCTCCTGGTGGAGACTGTGGCCCAGACATCCACCCCTCGGCTATAGCGCCCCAGACTCAGGGCCCAGAGGAGCAGAAAGCCACCTGGTATATCGTTACTAACCCAGTGCTGTCGTCTATCAGTCACCGTGAAATAAAGTCTCAACACTCCAAGAGGAGTGCACATGGCTGTCCTCACTGAACCCCTCTCAAGCCACGCCCAATGCGCACCTGACTCAGCCTCATGTGGGTGGGTGGAGGACGCCTTTTGGCTGAGGAGACCCCATGCAAAGAGATGTCACATACCAGTTGGACCACTGCTGGGACAGGGGCTGAGAGAGGCTTGGGCCAGACACTCTAGGTGGGTTCCTCGGAGGTGACTAGACTGTGGTATGTCCTGCAGACTGCCCTCCAATACGTGTGTGTGTGTGTGTGTGTGTATGTGCACGCACCTTGGCTTGGCCTGTTTCTTTGTGAGAGGAGCAGAGCAGTTTGGTAAGGAGGGCTTGGTTGGGTAAGTGAGGGATGACAGGTGGCCATCCCCACTGGGCCACTGTGCAGAGGAACCTTGGTGCTGCCAGGGAGTCTTAGCCAGCTCCCTGTCTGCCCCCACTAGGAGGTATGAGCCCCAAGGTTGGGGTAGGTGAGGAACTGTGGTTGTGACCCCAACACTGGTTCTCCTTCCAACTTCTCTTTTTCATTAAAGATAACAAAATGTTCTTTGGTGTTTGTATTAATCGGGGGGGGTGGGGGGAACGGGCAAAACACAAAACAATTCAAACAAGAAAGCCAAGCCTCCCATGATCTTAACGTGTGGGTAACCTGCTAGCCTGTGGGCTGCCTTGATTCATTAACTTGCTGGCTGGTTCCAGCACACTTTAGATGGCAGGAATGGGAAGGTTGTTGCTAAGCGCTATCTAGTCAGTTCCGATTCACAACCACCGTGTATAGGATTTCCAAGGAGCGACTGAGGAGTTTGAAGTGATGACCTTGCAATTCAAACTGACCTTGAGGTTGAGTGTTTATCCTATGCTGCTACAGCAGAACTCCAGGGATAGGGAGAAAAGATAATAAAGCAATGATCACATAGACAGGCTGCTTGCTACATCCTGGCAGGGGCTGGGATGGGTGAACAGGGGGAAAGGAGTGCAGCTAGATGACTGGACTAGCCTGGGGCTTCAGAAGGTCCAGAAGAAACCACAATCAAACCAGGACCTGAATAATGGGTAGGTGATAGGTGGGAGGGGACATCCCCTGGAAGGAACAGCAAGTGCCAGGGCCCTGCAACTGGAGGTCCAGAGAGTGGGCAGGACAGGGTGGGTCACAAAGTGCCTCATGAGCAGGAAGAAAAAAGCACTGTCTGTTGTCTCAACAGACTTGAGGGGAGGCTGGGGGGAGCTATTTCGGAGCTTAGTACAGATAAAGACGGTTGGGGGTGAGGCTTTGAAATCTGTAATGCTGGGTTTGGAGACTCTTGGGGCACATGTGGGGGAAGGGCTGAGCTGAATCTGTCACGTTTAGGAGCAAGTGTGTCCCACTGGGAGGGAACCATGACCTCAGAGGAGCCATAGGTCAGCCTGTGGTCAGGCCGATGCCTCAAGAAGGGAGAAAGGCTCTCTGGGTGACAACTGCTGCTGAGGGTGGAGGCATCTGAGAAAGGGGCAGATGTGATTTTGATGGCCTGAACAGAGCAGAGGGTCCTCAGTAGAGGGGAGGGGCAGTAACACCTCTAATGGTGAGAAGGCTCTTCTCAGAAGAAACTTGGGGTGGCAATTTGCTGATGGGGGGAGGGAGGACACAACAGGACCTGAGTTTGTGGCACCAGGAAAATACCCAAATGGCTGTGGGCCCAGGAGAGATAGGGACCTGAGGCTACTGGGAAGGGGGTGGGTTTAAGGTGGAATAGTTGCTGTCAGAGGGAGTGGACACGGTCCAGAGGGGCTTGTTATCACAGTAGACTGGCTGCCTCCGGCCTCCGCCCCGGGCCTCCGCCCCGGAGTCTCCTCTCCTGCGTCCTCGCCTCAGCGCAGGAAACTCAGTCCCTCTTCGCAGACCGCCCTTGTTAGGAGGTAGTTGGTATTCGGAAAGGTCCGGAGGTTCTCGACCGAAAGCGCCTAGATTCCAGGGCGGCCCGGACCGATCCATTATTAATAATGTTCACGCCCAGGGGGTGCAGGGTAGGGCGTGGCCAGTTCCAGTAGGCCAACTCCGGACGGCGCCGCGCTCGCCCTTTGAGCGCGGATCACTGATCACTTGTGTACTCCTCATCTCAGAACCCTAGTGCACCTTTGATCTTTGCTGGCTTCCCAACTTCAGGGAGTGGAGCAGAACTGCAAGCTTCGACCTTTTAAGGAAACCGGAGGCGGAGGCCGAGGGCGGGTCTTTGCGGTGGAGGCGGAGCCTTCTTCAGAGCAATTTAGGACGCCGCCTCCCTGAGCCGACCCCAGAACGCCCAGTGAGCACCATGGTGCCTCTGAGACATGATCTCGCTCAGACGCACCTGGAGGCTCCATCGCCCCAACATGAAATGTGGCGCAGGCGCAGGAGCTGGAACCTAAAAGGGTAGCTGGTGTTAGGATGACAGGACACCTCATTCCCTCCGGGATGGAAGGAAGGAGCTCCACGGAACCTCTCGGTCAGCGGCGGACTACTCTCTTCTCCCCTGACTGTCACTGCAGGTAGCAGCAGAACTGGCTTATTCCTGAGGGTCGTCTCCCGCTTTGGACCTGTCCTGTCTGTAAGGACCAGCCCTCGTTCCAGAGCCCAGGACCTCTTTTGGGGAGTTCAGACAGGTCAGGCTGTAGGTTGGGCCAGCTTCTTGCTTCCATGGAGATGAAAGTCAGAAGTGTCACAGGAATCAGGCCCTTTGTGCTCATATACCTGCGTCCTGTGTGTACACAAGTTCAAACTGGTTTACACATGGCCATCCCTGGGGAGTTACACCAATGTGACCACACACGCTACCATGTCTATGCACTCAGCCCATCCATCACTCAGAGCCCCTTCCTCTGGGATCCTGGTCTTGGTGATGTCAGAGGTCATTGGAGAGGTCACCCTATGACTGAGGCCCTGAATAGCACCTTCCCTTGTCTCTGAACCAGTGCAGGACTGGACAGGGTCTCATCTGCTGGGTCCACCTGACACCTCCCTGCCTAAATTCAAGGACAGAAACCCAAGGAAGAGAGACCCTTGTCCCACCTCCCACCAGCCATCCTGCAACACCTGTGAGGTGAGGGTCCCCAGGAGAGGTATGAAGTGAGGTGGGGATAGGCAGGCAGCCTGGCTGAGCAGCTCCCTGCAGCATTCTGAGCCTTTGCCCTCTCATGGAAAGTGTAAGTGGGTTTGTTGCTAAGAATATGCCCCCCTCCAAGTCCTTGAGTCCCAGGTTTAAAATCCAGCTGAAGGGCTGCAACTGGGGGTGGGGTTGGGTACATTACAGGGCAGGGTCTGATGGGCATGACTCCTTGAGGTTCTCCTCTGGGTCTTACTCTAATCTGTCCCCTGGCTCAGGGAGGGAGAATCCCTGTCATTTGCCTGTATCCTGGCCCCCAGGCCCAGCTACTTGCTGGGAAAGATGGGTTGGGCTGGCCTAGCCCTTAGCCACAGGTCCCACCCTAAATGACCATCTGGCCCCTGAACCCACTTCTCTCAGGCCAGGGTAGGTCTAACTGAATCTCAGCCCCCACCCAATGTCCCCTACCTGTGGCCTCCAGACCCTGTTTGTGGATCAACAGCAGCCTCTGCCAGTACTACTACCTCTGGGCCACACATGATTCCCACTCTATCTCTGCGGTTTAATGTTCTGGGGGCAGGGGGCTGGGCATGTTGAGCTCCTTCTGGTCTTCTGTGTGCCAGGGGTTGAGATGATATATATATATATATATATATATATATATATATATATATATATATATATATATAGTTAATGTGATTCTGTCTAGACAAGATGGACCCTGTCTCGGGGGTCCCTTTGGGGTGATGGGCTAGGACACTGCCTGGCCTCTGA